TGAGGAAAAGAAAAAAGTTCTGAAAAATTATAAAATCTTAATGTTTAGAGGTTTAGCAGTCTCAACGTAATGAAAAATAGTCACACGGCTTAAAAAGCCTCTTCGAACGTGACAGATATGAACCTTTTACAAAAACCCAAAAAATTGTTCATTTTGGTCTTCATTTTTGACCGGCGCTCTACGGCGATTATGTTACACAATACACCTTCCATTTATATCATAAGATAGCCAAAAAGCAGGGCTATCTTTTGATATAGTTTGAGTTTGCTTGCGACATTTCCAGAGGAACTACAAGCCGAGAAGTCAAAAAACGGCTTCAAAATGAACAATTTTTTGAGTCACTGTATAATAAATAATAAAAATGATTAAAACTTGCATATGCATGCAGTGGTAATGGTGTAAATCTTGTAGGCCTTGGGTTTGAGTGTGTTGTAAAAGGTAATAAAAATAGAAGTTTGTGTGTTCGTAGTCTTTTGTAAGACTTGAGGTTCGTAGCAAAAGTGTTTAAAAGGTAAAGTTATAGTAAAGGTTCGATGTGTGACCACCAGATCGTGTAAAGTTGATCAGACTGAGTTGTACAAAGTAAAAAGAATAATAAAAAAAAGATAAAAAGGTTCCTGAATCCACTTGATTGGATTATTCAGAAGCTAAAAAAAGATAATAAAAAGGAAAAGGTTGTGATTCAAATCGTAAGTGATTTATTGAATGATTTGAGCTTTTTGCAAAAGCATTGCTCTTTTATACTTGATAAAAAGTAATTAGAGTTTTGATATTTAAGGTTTTGATAATTATAGTTTTGATATTTAAAGTTTTTTTTTTTTTTGAAAACTGTGCTACAATGGTACTGGTGGCAGATACCAAAAATGGTATCACTATAACAAGCACGACATATGACAACACCATGCCGTACTTTTTATGTTACATAATACTCCCTTTTTGACTATACTGTAGAATTTCTTATTATTTTAATATATATATATAAATAATGTTGATGTATTGTAAGGTTCGTGTGCTTGGTTAAACTGATATTTATAAATTTGGCGTTAAGGGTTCGCTTTGTAGTGACCACCAGATCTTTAATAGATCAAATAAGTAATTGAGTAATAAAAGACAAATAAGGTAAATAAAAGTAGGAGTTTGAAAATGCTCTGACAGGTAATATAATTGTTATACCAAAATCAGAATTAAAGAAAAGAGAAAAAAAGGGGAAAAAAGGGGATTTTACTTTATAAAAAGATATAAAGGATTTATTGATGTTT